TGTCTCAAACAATTATATCTAGCCAGTTGTCCTGAATTGAAGTTTGTTACAAGTCTAGAAGGACTTGTCTCTCTGAAAAGAGTAACTATTTGCAATTGTGATGGATTAGAGTGTCTACCGAGTGGGCTCTCATCCTGCATTGCTTTGGAGGAATTGGAGATATGGAAATGCTCTAATTTGGTTTCTATTCCAGAAGAATTGAAACAGTTACGGTCTCTTGTTAAGTTGGATATTTGTGAATGTCCAAAATTGAAGTTTGTTCCAAGTCTAGAAGGACTTGTCTCTCTGAAAATAGTAGAGGTGCAAGAGTGTGATGGATTAGAGTGTCTACCGAGTGAGCTCTCATCCTGCATTGCTTTGGAGGAATTGAAGATAGGGGAATGCTCTAATTTGGTTTCTATTCCAGAAGAATTGAAACAGTTACAGTCTCTTGTTAAGTTGGATATTTGTGAATGCCCAAAATTGAAGTTTGTTCCAAGTCTAGAAGGACTTGTCTCTCTGAAAACAGTAAAGTTGAAAGATTGTGGTGGATTAGAGTGTCTTCCGACTGGGCTCTCATCTTGTACTGCTCTGGAGGAATTAAAGATATGGAATTGCTGTAATTTAGTTTCTATTCCTGAAGAATTGAAACAGTTACGATCTCTAGTTAAGTTGGATATTTGGGAATGTCGAAAATTGAGGAGCTTCCCAGAGGAGATCTTGAGCTCTCTTGCCAGCTTGAAGACATTAGGGCTTGGCCTTTTCCCAGAAGAGCTAGAGGAATTCCCAAATTTGAGTTCCACTTCCACTCCAGCCTCCCTTGAAGTCTTGCGTTTGGGTGGATGGGGAAATGTAACTCTGCCACATCAAATTCAACGCCTCATTACCCTCAGGGATTTAACTATCGAAAGCTTCAATGGAGTGGAAGAAGCATTATTGGGAAACCTATCTTTTCTTAAAACACTTACAATTAAGGGTTGTACTGGGTTAAGGCGTCTATCAAGTGGGCTGTTATCTCTTGAGAGACTCCGTTATGAAAATTGCCCTAATCTGGTCTCTTTTCATGGAGAGTTGAAGGAATTGCATTCTCTAACCATTTTAGGTTGTCCGAAATTGGTGGGCTTGCTAAAGGAGAGTCTCGGCTGTTGTACTAGGTTGAA